TTTATTATCATTTTCTGAACGCAAGAAAGATCGAATATATTTTTTCATAAATTTATAAACAGATTTTAAATTATATGATATCATACAAATAATTTAATTACAGATTGTCGTTCTGCACTTTAAAAAAATCAATTCAATGTTGAACAGTGAAGTCAGTACCTTGAATTATAGGACGGTGATACAATTTTCCAGAAACCTTATTAAAGTCTCAAATTGATCCATGTTACTGTTCAAAAATTAATCCTTAATATGGTGTAATAAAGTTTAAGAAGTACTTTAGCTCAAATCGAGCACCATGTTAATGCTACATTAAATTTGAAAGATATTATGTTTATATGTAGCACCGTATTAAGATAGAAGCGAATCTGAAAGATGTAGTAATTCAACAATCATAAAAAATTCCCGAATAGGAAAATTTAGTATTTTTTTTTTTTTTAAAAATGAATGAAATTTTAAAACAAATATTATTTTAAGAATTTTTTTTTTAAAAAATGAATGAAATTTTAAAACAAATATATAGTATTTATTTATCTATAGCACCGTATTAAGATTAAAACGAATCTGAAAGATGTAACAATTCAACAATCCTCAAAAAATCCTGAATAAAAAATTAGTAATATTTTTTTTTAAATGAATGAAATTTCAAAACAAATATTATTTTAAAATCTATCTTTAAAAGATTTGTTGATAGTTACTGTTAGTTAAACTTCTTTTTAATGAAAGACATCTCATTTTATACAAAAACTTCGATCATCAACTATTAATACAAACTTATTCTAGTTGAACAGCCATTCTGTGTTGGGAGAAAAAACTACATAAATAAATTTTGTAATCAACATTACAAAATCATTCACAAAGTTAAGAGGAAATACTTTCCCAGTTAATTTTTTTATATAATTTTATTTTTCAGTTTATTTATTATTTGTTACGCTTCCTGGTAGCTTTACCTTATTAGATTAATCAAAACATTTATTTAGAAGCTCATCCTATCAGAATAAGGATTAACTATTCTTAGTATCATTTTGCATGATGCTACTGCTCATGGTAAACTTATGATATTAAAATTTCATCAAAATCAAGTATTTTATCCTGCACTTATCCTTTTCAGGAGCCATTAAATCTGTAATTACGCTACATACAATAAATATTCATATTTTAATGGTTAGAATGTATTAAGACAACACCTACTACCCTAACATCAGTAGACTAAATTACCAAAATTAATTAAGCATCACTGGCATCAATAATAGTTTAGTGATTTTATACGGTTTTCTGGAAAACAATGAATCCTTTATCAATTTTGCTTTTTAAAACATAGTTTTTTTGTTACCATTGATTTTAAATAATTTAGTTTTTCACTGTTTTTTTTTTAGTTTTTTTTAAATAATTTTAGTTTTTTAGTTTATAATTTAGTAAAACACCTTTCAAATACGTAACTGTTAACAAGATAAATACGCGATTTCAGATAAGATTATAAATGCTAAATCGCACTGTAAAAAATGAATACTCAATTATCACGAAACTTTCTTTGCTTTTGATGAAACCATTTCCTTAATATGTTCGGAGAGAATATTTTGTTAAAGTGATGAAATAACTATCGTCATTTCTCCGAGAAAACAAATTTCGTTAAAAGTGAAGAAATATTCCGTCATTCTTTTTTTATGCTACCTCATAGTGTTTTACTGGCGATATTATCGATTACTTTTTCGGAGACACCATGTAGGTGGACCAACGTCCCTCCAACAAGACAAGAAGGACAAATAGAGAAATCTATAGAAATTACATCTATGCCTGAAGCGGGATTCGAACCCTGGATTTTCCTGGTATGAGGTCCACTCCTTGATCACCATTCGAGCCAGTCAGTTCATTTCGTCATTCTAGCTTCAATTGTATAGTCTTCATTCCAGTCAGCAATCTCCCACATTGCACAGCGATGATTCGTCATACATTTGATTTCATGACGAAATGATTCTCAAAATTAGCGAAAAATAGCTCATGGATTGATGAATCACCAAAAGTGAGAATTTTATCCATGAAAAAATGGTGACATTACATGCCATCTACGTTCGTTATATTGATACCACCTGATATAGCGAACAAAAATATTTAAATATTAAGAAACGTGAAATGAGCACCTTTTTAATTATTAAATAGAGTTGTAAGATAGCAATCATCACTGGTAATAGTTTAAAAAGGGGAAGAACAGATCCATCTGCAGTTTAATATATAAAAATAGCTGATACTAAACTATTGAGTAAATATACTTATTCAAACCTCCTTCCCAAATGATCTGATTGAAAGTTTTGAACGATTTTTAGAACTGGGAACTGAAATTACCCTTTATTCTTATTTTTGAACTATTACACAACCGATTCTGGAGTTGTAAGGGAGACAAACAGAAATACACAAACTCTTCCTTTTATTATTGAAAGATAACACTAAAAATATTCCCGGAATATCTTAAAATATGCCAGAGTAGCATTGCGAGTTATTTTTATATCCCAAAATATTAAATGAAAAGTTTAAGACTTTGCCAAGATTTGTGAAGTTTCAAAGATGTTAAACAAACTTTAGCCGTGTCCTTCATATAATGATTCTATTCATAGTATTCTTTTAAGGACAATGTCACATAAAATTGTTAAAGATTTGACCCACAAAAATATTTTTATTTTGTTATAGTAGTTTATTCTTGAAGATTGGGTAGATAAAGGCTAAAAGTTTTCAAAATTTTATTTTGGATTTAAGATAGTAAACTTTTTACTAGCAGTGGTTCCCAAATGGTGTTCCGCGGAGCCTTAGAGTTTAATGGAGCAGTTAAACGGATTCCGAGAATTAAGACTTATTTAAACAGATTTTTTTTTAAATTTTCAACCTATTATTATGTTTAGATTCAATAAATAATTCGTTGTTACTTAATAATTTGATTATTGTTACGATATTAAAGTAAAATACAAATGAAAAAGAAATAGTGCCATTTCTTTGGAGAAAAAAAAATTATTTTTGAAATAACTATATATCAAAGAAACTATAAAAAGGACATGCATTTATAAAATATTGCAATAGTACTTCCCATCACGCTGTTCAAACCAAAATAAACTGGATAAACTAAACAAAATAAACTATAGAAACAATTGTTTTTCGAATAGCCTTTTTCAAACCCTTACAGCAGTTTTTTTTTTTTTTCATTTTTCATTGCAGCGAAAACCATAATTCGGCTCTTATCGGTCATATTCGGCTTATCGGCTCTCGGTCAGATATAAAACTTAATTTAGGATTATTAATGATAAGACGATGCAAAAGTACCATTCTTTTGGTTGAGTATTTTCAAAATAACTTTTATTGGTTAATACGTTCGCAATTACTTTAGTTATAAAATCGGGATTCCGTCGGAAGAATGTCGATCATTTAACGATCCATATCCATAACAATTGAGAATTACTGCTTTAGAGGGCTTTTTTTCCATAGTAATGTTATGTTAAAGTATTTTCGGGATTGAAATTGATGTATTAAACGAAATTAAATTAGCTTTATACGTATACTTAAAAGTAATTTGAGATTAAAGACAATGGTTTTTAGGTGAGAAAGTGAGTGAATTTCCAAAATTTCATCCACTGTAAAGAAATGGTATAAACTTAAATTTCTGTGCTCATAAATAACCGAATTCCTTAATTCCGCGCTTATACCCTTACAAAAAATTAAAGTGTTTTTGTGGTTCATTAGAGATTGTTTTAAGATGCTAAGGTTGATTTGAAGTTGTCTTAAAAAACAACCTCAAAAATCAACGTATTAAGATTCATTATCGAAGTTCAGTTGCCTTATTCACCTTGAGGTTGCTTTGAGGTTGGCAGAAATCTACCTTATTAGAGCAACAGCTTCGAAAGGTTGTTTCTGAAGAGTACAGGTTATTTTGCTGAAAATAATGAGATGAGGTTGATTTTATGAGGTGTAAATGAGATTGAAAATCAGTTTGTAGCTATTTTCAGTGCAAAACTTAACCTCATTTTCTACCTCAGGTGTATTTTTCTACAATCTCTCTACCTCAAAGAACCTTATATTCTTATCAGGGTAACTACAAACAAACTCGATGCGAAACAATAATAAGGTTCACATTACAAGAAAAAATAGCTTTCTAGTTTGACCTCTCTTCTTGACCCCATGCAAATTTTTACTGTTACCCATTTTTATGTAAACAAAGACCACCATTAGTATTTTTTTTGTATTTTATGAAGTTATCAGCAGATGGTACCACCAATGATAGGGAGTAAATTAGATTTCCATTAACATTTAAAAAGAAATGATGAAGCTGGCGCGAAGTATACTTCCCATAACCTTAAACTTACCTTATGGTAAAATAATGGGCAACAGTCGGTTCATCCAATTTTCCATAAAGTTTCCGGTAAAGAACATTTTTTACCTTCACGATTTTGAAACCGTTACAACTAATCAATCAGCAATGCGGTTGAGATGTGTTTATCAAGTGAACCGTGGAATGTGGTTTAATTAGTTTATTTGGCTGTTTTACCTATCATAGACTTTTTGTGTTAAACAGCTTTATGATGCTGCCATCTATGTGCGAATGAGAGTATAATATTCTAATAGGGTCATTAATTGGATGTGTGCAAGACACTAGAAACTCATATGTTGAAAAGAATGGAGGAAATATTGTATTATAAAAGCTGGAACTCGATTATCCATTCTGTCGGTCAGGAGATTGACATATAAGCCATACAAACTACAAGGAACTTTTTGGCGGGCATAGTTGGTGCGATAAAACTCTGGTTGTTTAATCTGTATTAGCTTAAAGCAGTTAATAAACCCTTTTTCTCATAGCTAACATTTTGAATACCATCTTATTTATGGTTATTTGTCTGTTTTGTTTTAATATGAAAAAATAACAATTACATAAATTGTTATTCAACCATTTATCCCGGAAAATTTCTAACAGTGTATGAAGGGTAAAAGGGAATGGGGAAAATTTTTAAGAAAAAAGTACTGTTATATAAAACTTTTAAATTTTATTAAAAACCAAAATTACACATTTGCACAATACAAAATGACTAATGACAATTTAAGAAAAATATATTTGATTAATATTTAGGCAGTCATAAAATCACAAATTGGTGTTTTCCAAAAGCAAACAGAAACAAGAAATATGTACACATGAAGAAAAAAAACTAGTAAAAAATAGTTAAAGTTAACACACGTGCAAAAATGAAATAATACTGTAACAAGTCACGGATTTGCAGAAATACTTTTTGGATGGCTACACCTAGCATGGCTAATAGGTGTAGATAAAAGTTCAGTGCAGATGTTCATCTTTTAAAAACTGCTTGAAATCTATTTTTAGAACAGTTGGATGTAAAAATATTTTACAATATTAAAATAATTGTTTATTGAGGTGAAAAGTTCAAGCATTCCTAGAAAGCAAGAAAGAAACGATGAATGCTAGTAGGAGAAATGTTGGTGTAGCTAGTAAACCCATAGATCCACTGCATCTGATACCTAAAAAAATTAAAAAACAAATTAAAATTGGACGAATTTTTTCAATTAAAAATATAATTAAGTAATTTGAAATCAATATTTTAAAGAAAGTGCATATTTAAGAGAATGTGTAACCTGATAATGACCGGATAGAAAATTGCCTGATAAGGACAGATTATTTATTCATGTACCATTTGAGAAGTAATAGTTGGGACGAAGTTTATAATCAATATTTTTATCACAACATATCACGATATGAATCAAGAATTAAATTTCCTGCAAGATACTGCTCCAGCCCACAGAAATAAAGATGTTCAATAATGGTGCAACGCACATTTCTTGAGTATATTCCGGCAGTAAAATGAACACTTTATGCACCAGCAGTGACTATAATGTTTTTTTCGGTCTAATCTATTTTGCAACTGGACTTCTGTTAAACCTCATAAGTCTATGGCATCTCTAAAAAAATCATTACTCAAAATATAAGACAAAATGCTATAATGCCAATGTTTCAGCCCGCATTAAAAAATTTTATGACATGCTTATAGCTCTGTATAAAAACCAAAGATCGTTATTTAAATAATTTGTAAATATATTACAGCCGGTCACATATTTACATTTATTTAAAAATTTGGTTGTGATATTTCAATAAGCATTATGACATTGCATTGAATATCGAATACTTTCTATAAAATTCGGAGAGTTGACTGTTATTTGGTACAACCAACTCCATTCTATAACAAAAACTGTTAGTGTCCGTAAATAGTAACGGACTTCTGGAAAATAAGTAAAATTAACAGTTATTTATAAAACTATTTTCCTTCTTTGACAGAAAATGCAGGTCCCCGTAATTGTAACGAACTTCGGTAAAACTAGTGAAGTTGATCCTTAATTTCTACAGTTACTATGTATAGCTCCCCTAACTCAGTTCGTGAGTGTAGTACATCCTTTTTCATAGTGGTTAAATCATCAGACTCCAAACACTATAACTTTGAAACGAAGAGTACCTCTGTTGCACTCCCCCTACATTGAAGACTACTGACAGCATACAACATACAACTCTTTCACTCATCAACAGATGACAACACTACAATGTTTTGCTTTAATTTGAGAAACGAATTGCCTGAGTCTTGAACAAGGTTAATACCTTAATTGAAGATTACTTTTACCAGTATAACGTTAATTTACGGTCAGTGGCCATATATTTCGAGCGAAGCAATTTACGGCAGACCTGTATTTTCATGGGCGTAAATTTATTTTTACGATAAGTGACCTTAATCTAGCTATGAAATTGTTTGGAATGTGTGAGTCGAAGTTTTTTCTTGCCGCCATGGAATTGTATTATTGCATAATCTGATTGCCTCCTTTTTAGAACAATGAGTGATAATAAAGATACTACTCGTAGAGTTTCGATTATCTGATTTTTCTTGCATGAAACTAAAAAAAAACAGACTAAAAATTTTAACACCCAGTTGAAATTTAAACAGTGGAAAAGAGACTGTAAGTAAGCTTAGATTGAATATTTACATTTCAACAAGCATGAATATATTTTAGAAAATTTTGATATCGATAATAATATCGATATCATTTGATATATGTATATCGATAATAATATCGATTCATTAGTGATATCGACATACCTTCGTGGGTGATTTTGAATTTTATCTGATCCATAGTCTGGCATTTGTTATCTGCAAATAAATAAGTAAATGAATGAAATAAATTTATATATATCACATTCAATGTATAAAAATAATAATATAAGTAAAATAAATCAGTTTTTCGTATGAATAAAATATTAATGAGTTTTACCTGTAGTTTTATCATCACAGAACTGCCTTGTTGTTCGGGTTTCTGTTTCGTTTAAGCCAACGATTGAGAAATAAAATGGCGAGCAGCTAATATCAGTAAGACCTATAAAAATTTAAAAAACAAATTAGTTTCTTCGAGTGAAAGTTAATGATGACATTTAACATGACATAAACAAGCGATACAGTTAAAATATTAAAGTACCTGATTTAAAACTAAACAATTGGAATTTTTGATATTGAATTAAAAATTCATCGAGCACACTTATTTACCAATTAAATATCATACATAAAAATTAAGTTATTTATTAGTTGAAATTTAACTTTTGAAAGCATAGCTTCCTTTATCTTGTCTATTTTGCATTACATTCAATATGCAACGTAATGTATTGTTTATTTTTTTATACCTTAATATTAATTATATGATATAATACTGTTATAGTCATAATTAATAGCTTACTTTTTACTTAACTTTTTTAGCTTCATCTTGAAGGTAATGTTAATTAAGGGAAAATCAGAAAAATAAAGATGTCATTTTTTTTACTTATTTAGAAATGCGAAAATCAGTATGTTTTCGATAATATTTGCATAATTTTAAAAGAGAAATGTTCCTTCATTTTAATCGATAATTAGTAAATATATCACTGTATGTTTTTAGATCTGAAAGTTATTTCACGTCCATGTCATACCAGCTCTTCACTTTATCGCAACTCAAGAAGCATAATAACCTTACTGGTAAATATTCTTTCAAATCAGTGAACAAGTGGTAGTTACCGGATGACAAACCCTAAACTATAGCGCGAGTTTCAGCACATTGAATGTTCTATTAAAACTGCTACTGGTGATTGATGAAGACAACACTTAAACCTTTGATCATTCCTTTTCTCCAGTTCCTTTAACCAAAGTTTTACAGTATTTTATTGTGTTCATTGCCATTTCAACAACTATAAAGTCCATCAACTTAGATTTCAAACGACCACACGCCTACGAAATGGTTGAATCAATGATTCAACACTTTCATAAGGACAAAGAGGGGAGCTGGAATGATATGGTCAAACTAATACTGTCACAGCGCCTACAAGTATGAGTCGACAAGTGTTACGACTATGCAGAAAAATAAACAACTTCTAAAAGGATATAAAATATTATAGAATATAAATGGTATTTTGCATCTCCTTAAATTAAAAATTCGGAAGAACCCTGTTCGACTTCACGTTACACGAAGATATGCAGTATTGTGAGTGCTATAAAATAAAAACAATAACATTCCATAATTAATTATAAAATTATTAACTTAAACTTGTAGTAAAAAACACCATGCGAACCGCTATACAAGTAGCATAAATGCTTCTACAGAGTAGAGATACAGCTATATTGAGAAATGAAATTAAAAAGTGTAAATAAATGTCTCTCATAAAATTAAACTATACAAATGCAAATGTAGTCTAATTATTTGAAAAATTAAGAAAAGATAAATTCAATTTGTAATTAAATAACTAATATAACAATTTGTAATTAAATTTTGTAATTAATTTGTAACAAAATAAATTTCTTTAGTTTAAATTTCTCAATTGGATTTCCAATTTTTTTTTTCAAAAGCGTCCAAAAATCTGGAGAAATTTAGAATTTGAAGAGAGATTCTAAGAATATCACTCATCTATCGACTAAATGCCCACTTCTCAAATAATTTAGGAATCAAAAAAATATATTACCCCACTCTAAATAAATTCATGTCTGCCTTTAAGTGCCTTAGTCATAAAAAAAATATTTTCAATTTCACATTACTATTGTGAAGAAAGTTCTTTTTTTAAAAATTGAAATAATATTGATATCTAATGTGCGGAAAATAAAAGAAGCCAGTAAGCCATTAGGTATCGGTTCATATCACTTCCATCAGTGAACAAAACAGGAAAAGATACTAGAAAAATAGAAAAGAAGTTCACTAAAGCCATTAGATCCTGAAACCTTAGAACGAATGGCTTAATGGCTAAGCATAAGAAATGAGATAAGCTCTTTTCAGAAGACTGGCGCCTATGGGTACCATTTAGAATTAGCATACTAATATTTGTTTGCTTTTTTTCTCTAGAGCAAAATAGCTGAAGCAGAAATTATTTTACTGATAGTCTTTTTAAGTTGGGAGGATTGGGGTATCGCCATCGAGATGTGATGGGAGGTGTTTATTTTCATTATGCTATCATAAAGCTGAAGGTTGTAAAAACAGTATTTTTTTTCCTTTTGTGTTCGAATGTACTTTCTAAAAATTTTTTTTGCTCATAAACTCAATTTTTTCATGTTTTCAAAGAACATATAAATACTGTTTTAGTTTTATATTCATAATGTTAACAAATATTAAAAAAAATTTTAAAAATATTTTTTGAAATTCATTATTATTTTTTGCTTTAATTATTATTACATATAGTTATTACAGGGGTGCGTGAACAAAACAACGTGAATAAAGTGATATCAAAATGAAGCAGAACTCTGTTAAGTTATTCTAAAGAAACAGTATTCCTTCTCAATATGGCACTCATAAAAAATTTTGTCTCAACATTTTTTAAATTCTGAATGACAGTTTTTTCTATTTTGAAAAATTAAAATTCATGCTTTAAATTTTTACATCAATGAGGTTAGTTGTATCAACATAAATAAAGCTTCTCAACATCAATAGTTTAAATTGTATCAATTTTAATTGAGCTTGTTAATATCAATAGTGACATTTGAAACAATATTAATGAAGATTTTCAATATAAATAGTGTTATTTGTATTAATATTAATTGAGTTTTTTAATATCAATAGTGTTATTTGTATCAATAATAACGGAGCTTCTCAATAACGAGATATTTATGTCACTATTAATGAAATATTTTCAATATCATTAGTGATATTTGAATCAATATTAATGGAGTTTCTCAATGTCAATAGTGATAGTTGCATAAAAAATTAATGGAGTTTTTCAACATCAATAGTGATATTTGTATCAATATTAATGAAGCTTACGTCAGTAGAAATGTTTGTATCTGTGAAAAAGTTTTATTGAGCATATTTTGAGGACGAAGTGCAAAGATTTTTTTCCCAATACAGTGAAGCCTGTGTAAGCTGAGCATTTTAACTAAGAAAAATGGTCAACTTATAGATAGAGATGCGGCACTATTTTCTACTTTCTTAAAATATGTTCTTGTAAATATCAAGTTATTCACACATTTCCTGCATATTATTAATCAAAATATTGATAAATATGAGTAAATTTTCGAACATGATTTTAAAATTTTTATTTAGCAAATACTCCATACATCTTAAGGAATAAAAGTTGATTACTAGAATAAATTACAATCTGTTACATATTTTTAATGCTAAACTGATTAATTAACAAAAACAATCTGTATGTCGTGTATTCTAGGTATTAATAAATAATTTCCTTGAAAAAAATAATAATCAATAACTGCAATACAACTGGTAAATTTAAAATTGCATTCATTTTTATAGGATAAAATTTCTTTAGTTATTCTTAATCTAGAAATATGTTTTTTTATTTACGATTCTTATCTATTTTGATGCTAATTGCGTTCTTAAAAGGTGTTGTTTTAAAGCTTAGTAATTTTACTGGAACAATAACATCATCAAATCACCAAATAATGCATTATAATATATTTTCTGGAAAGATTATTTCCACGGACCGATTAAGACAAATTCAGGCCCAAGGCCCACCAAATTCTCCGGGCCCCTTACAAAATATTTTGAAATTAAATTACTAAAGTTTACGTAATATTTTGAGTGATAAGTCATAGAAAAGAATCTATTAAACTGCATGAATCAAGATAAACATTCTAAGAAATTTTGAAAGAAGACAATTGAAGATTATTTTTCTAAGATAAAGTATACGTATCTATAAATTAAAGCAAAATATAAAACAACAAAACAATGTTTAGCCAAAATAAAAATAATTTGGTGACCACAAACAATTGAAATCAGTGATTTTTGTGAAAAGTCACTGATTAGCTGAATTATTTTTTTATTGTATGCTGTAATTATTTTTTATTTAGTACTTAAACCAACACAAAGCTATCCCACTTTTCGTTAGACTTTTTACTAATTTTTGAGCCCCCTCCGAGAGGCCTTGGCCCATTCCTATTGGGTCTAGATGATAATTAGGCCCAGGTTATTTCCAAATGGAAATATCGATGCCAACTAACACCTCCCAGAAGATAGAAAGCCTCAGAGAGGATCAATTTAGTAGTCCGACGTGACGAACATAATTTACGCAGTGGAAAAATATGAACGATGTCACCACGTTCGGACTACTAAGTTACGCATTGGGAGATACGAAATATGTCATTAAGTTTGGAGAACTATAGGATTAAATATTTTGTTTATGGTAACCTGCGCTGACGCCTTCTTTCTTTTAGGAGGTATTGTGCGAACCGACACAATAGATAAAAAATATCTATGCCAAGTATAGATAATATCGTAAGGACGTATCGATGCTTTTTTAATATCACTAATCTAGAAATTGTACAATAGAAATTTTTCTACTTTAGAAACTTTTAATGTGAAAGATTCTATAATACGTAAATTTAGTGAATTTCTGTGAACGAAAAATAATGAAGCTTGATGAATTCTTTTGCGTACAAATATTTTACAGCTATTATTTTATATTAACAATTCATTTGAATAAAAAGTATTGAAAAATTCAATCATAATATCGTAAGGACGCATCGATGCTTTTTCAATATCACTAATCTAGAAATTGTACAATTGAAATTTTTCTACTTTAGAAACTTTTAATGTGAAAGCTTCTATAATGCGTAAATTTATTGAATTTAAGCGAACGAAAAATAATGAATCTTGATGAATTCTTTTGCGTACAAGTATTTCACAGCTATTATTTTATATTAACAATTCATTTGAATTAAAAGTATTGAAAAATTCAATCGTAATATCGTAAGGACGTATCGATGCTCTTTCAATATCACTAATCTAGAAATTGTACAATAGAAATTTTTCTACTTTAGAAACTTTTAACGTGAAAGCTTCTATAATGCGTAAATTTATTGAATTTAAGTGAACGAAAAATAATGAATCTTGATGAATTCTTTTGAGTACAAATATTTTACAGCTATTAGTTTATATTAACAATTCATTTGAATAAAAAGTATTGAAAAATTCAAGCAAAGAGGATTTTAATCGAAGTTATATTTTTGTATCTAATGTTTCGTAGAGGTAACTTCGATGCACACAAATTCTTCTTTATATCGCTCAAAAAAAAAAAAAAAAAAAAAAAAAAAAAAAAAAAAAAAAAAAAAAAAAAANAAAAAAAAAAAAAAAAAGATATAAGTGCAAAAATTTGTTATCAGTCACGCGCGCAATCGGCGTCTTGTTTGTCGATAAAAATGTCACTGTATTTTATCGTTTGAAAGACGAATCATAATTTTCTCAAATTCTTATAGGTTGCAAACTTCTTTGTCGGCAAAATAAACTTGGAATTCAGTTTATTCAGTTTATAGTTTGGGAGTACTATTAACGAACTGAATAGAAAAAGAATGAAGTCTCTACAAAATAAAATTCTTTTTTTGTGAAAATGCAACAAAAGGAAGTAATAGTGCATGGTTTTGATACAATCGTATGAGCAAATAGAATTTAAAGTGTTTTGTTCAAGAGAAATTAAAGATTAACGTTTATGAATTTCCTGTTGTAAAATAGAATCGTACATTTCTGGAACTTCCCATTAAAACAGCTGTTTTAAGTATATTTACTGTTATTTTACGCAAAAGTAGCATAAAGCGTCTTAGGTTCTTCATTACATTAATTTCAAAAAATCATTCTTATATAATAATGGTTCCTTTTGCGAAAACAAATAAAAATTATTTCTGCCAAATGGAAAACAAAAGCAATATAAATTGTTTTCATCTGTTATGAATATTATTGTTAAAACACATACCTTTGCAGGGATCTTTGTATGGAAATTGCAATGGACCTGGAAAAAAAAGATCATTTTTTAATACTAATATTTACGCATTTAAATAAGATTCTTAAAATCTTTAATTTATATGGTAGAAAAATAGTATAATCTGACAACATTTTCTTTTAAGTATATAATTTCTTTTTTGTCTTCTCGCAAATAATGCTACAAATCAGCTGCAACCCTAAGAAGGTGGCAAGTTAAATTCCACTCTGCTGCAAATAAATTCTTTTTAAAACTTCACAACACCAAATTACTGAAAAATGTGCTTTATTTGAAAATGCATGTTACTTGCATAATTATCGGTTGGGAATAATGAATCTGTAATTATTTTTTATCAATCTTGTATCATTTTCTCAAAAATCCAAATTTTAGCTTAGCGAAACTTCATATTTTAATAGCACACGAAACAACTTACTGTCAAACGTCATGCACTATCACCAACAGCTTGACTACCAGCTTGTTGATCTTGGCGACTTTAGCAAATTTTCGGAGATATTTTTGCTGATATTTAAGCATATCTACCTTGGTAAAATTTCGAGGCTCTTTTTGCATTATATTCTTTGCAAATGGCATAGGCATCCTATTTTTATGTAATTTCCCCACTCTCTACACTTTTCCTCTCTTTGTTTCAATGGTTTTGGTGAATCTTGCCTTTTCCCCAAGGCCTTACATTTCAATAAGTAGTCGAAATATACTGGCATGGGGAAATAGCAAGATTTGTTAAAAAACATGGCAATAGAAAGGGGGAAAGTGTAGAGAGTGAGGAAAGTACGCACACCTGTGATTTTTCGACTTTTTACAAAGAGTATAGGAAGCAAGATATTCAGATATTCACTTAAAACTTGGCGACTTTTCTCCTGCAAAAATGGTTTGTGATGGACCATTTTGGCTTCGATATATAAATTAAATACCTTTTATTAAACAAATTACTTAGTTGCATCCAACAGACAGAAACGTTCAGAATTTTTGCACATGTTATTGTTCAAGTTACATTTCGTAACTCATCAAGTTTGCAGAAAATTTGAACATTATTATGGTTTAACCTTTCATCAATTTTCTTAAAGCGTATTCGACCTTACGCGTACACTTAATTAGAGCAAAATTTTAAAACTCAACCAAATATAGCATGTTATATTACACTTCAGCGTCATTTAAACTGCAAATATAAGAAATCCACCCTCTCCACATGTTTTGACCAAACAAAGTAACAAATTTTCCATTAATTTTTTATTTTATTTATTTTTTCAGCTAATCATGGATAATTTATTAACCATTTAAAAAAATAAAAATGAAGGTGGAAGAAAATTTAAAAAAAATTATAACTCATGAAAATCTAGTTTTTTTTCTTGTAAAAAACTCTTCTGTTTAATACAATAGTTAACTAAATTATATATTTATCGAATTTTTTAACATATAAATAAGTTTCAATTTGAACATTAGTAAGGAAGCACTTAAGAAGTAAAAGTATCAAAAAGTTTTAGTTTATTTATTTAAAAGTTTCATAAGAAGAAAAGCATTTAAAAGTTTTAATAAGAACTAATTCATTTTCAAAAGCTTATGGCCACTAAACACATCTCTTTCTTAATTTCGAAATTTCCGTTATTGTGTTGTACTGAGATAAATAACACTAAGAAAAATCTGTCGCATGTTAATAAGGAATTTTGTACTCACTTCCATTGGCTAAATCATGACATGTTTTTATTTCTCTTTCTGGGTATTTAGTATCTCTACTGAAGCATACCTTGGCAGGTCCGTTGAAGGATTCAAACTATATAGAAACGAAAATTTTAATTAAAAGATTATTTAGCTGAAAAAATAATAGTTACATATGTATACAATATACCTTTATTGATACAATATAATATACAATATACAATATAGCATTACAATATACAATATACCATACAATATACCTTTATTGATAATAAATTTTCTTTAATTTTTGGAAGGAATAGAAACTAAAGGACATTTCTCAATCTAATGGTGGGCTTATGTGTCACGACCTAAACATACACTATAAAAAATTCCTGGTTAAATTACGGTAAAAAAATACCGACACTCAGAGTACCGGTACTTTTTACAGTAAAATCCATTTTTACCGGAACGTGTTTCGGAACAAAAATCTAATATACCAATATTTTTACAGTAGTAATTACCATAAAATCACTAAATTACTCTACTGAATATTTTAGGGGGAAATAACATATTTTACAGAAAAAATGGATTTTTATGGATGATGCACCTTAAGTACTTTATATGTAATTTTTTACAGTAAAGGCAGTAAGGAACTTCTGAATAAATAGGCGGAAGTTTCCTGAAAAATAAAAATAAAGATTTTAATTTTGAAAAACTTATCGTGGATATGTATTTGAGAGAGATTTCGTTGATATTTATTGCATTTTATGTAATAATGGACATCTACTGACAGTTTAAAATTTTAAAATCTGCGAACGGGTTGCATAGTTAATTTGGTAATTGCATTTTGTGTTACGATTTTGAAAACGCTTCCCTCTTTTTAAGTTTTATCAACAGTTTGTATGTAACACATAGTCAAAATAGCGTTAACACTACTTTATTGCTTTTAATAAACAGCATTTACTGCAAATTTAGCTGGTATGTGTAGAAAACAAACTTCGAAGCAAATAAAATTCAAATTTGAAAATCCAATGTATTCAAAACTGAAACAGCATGTACTCATTTTCGAACAACATTTTATAAATAGTTCAGTTTAAAAATTAACCATTCATTGTGAAGAATTGCTAATATAAATATGCAAATAAAATTACCACAATTTGCAGATCATTGAAAGATTACTATCAACATTTAAAAAAAAATGTTTTTTGGGAATTCCTTTCATTGAAAGAGAAACTCAAGTTGTATACATATATGTGCATGGGAAAAACTGTCATTGATATTGAATTTATTGTCAGTGTTAAGAGTACTGATTTTTAGATTTTTAAACATCCTATAATGGTTAACATATAAAATACTCTATGTCTACTATACGGAGGAAATTACCGTTTCTTTAAATTAATATAGCTGTGTCTGTGCAAAAAATGCTGAAAATATAACGCACAAGCATACAAAAAGTATTGCATCTACGCAATTTGTATATCAATTTTAGCATAATTTCGTCAAACCTCAGTATGACATTTTTTAAAAGTTTGTGTGAATTTGAAGGTTTTAAATCAAATTACAATCTTAACTGATTTTGGAAATTCATAAAAAAAGAAATTGTAATTAGCAAACATACATAAAATATTTTATTCTGATCGTTTTATTTAAATTTTTTCCAGCCTCTATTCTGTTTCTGCAATATTTTCAAACTGAATCGATCTTTGCTAACTGAAAAATTTTCAAGCACCTGTTTTAAATGTAAAATGGAGGACAAATTCACATGCTTAATTTAAATTATTATGAATTATTATGAAACCTTAAAAATATGCAATATAAATTTTAAAGTTTAAATATATTTCAAAATAAAAATAATAAAATAATAAAGAAATAATATTTTCTAAATTCTCCCTTTTCATACTCTTTTTTTTATTCAATACTCTTTTTCATACATTTAAGTTCTCTTCATTTAAAAAAAAATTTAACAAAAATTTAAATTATGATTTTTAACATCCTGAAAGATATGCATTGTATATTTTGAAATATAAAAAAAATACAATATTTCATACCACAAATTTTAAATTGAAGCTTTTGTAGAAATATTTAGCTGGCATTGACCAATGTTGAATACCACTTGGTGTTATGTAATTTTCATAAATTGCACTTCTTTCACTTCTAGCTTGTTCACAATCAGTATATTGAAGTCTTCCAGGAACTGACAAAAAAAAAAATTTGTTAATAAATTTATTAAATTATTTACTTAATTACATTTATTAATCAGTTTTATTTATTTTGGACTTAAAAGTCCAAAAATTTAATTTTGGACTTAAATTAATTTTGTAATTTAAAAGAATTTTAACATTTTAAATTACGTCCCTACATTTTAATAGCGTCTAATTTTTTATTTTCAAATAAAACAACAAAAATTTCGTGCAGGATTTTCTTTAATTGTTTGTTTTTCAGTTGATTTTACGTCATTTGGAAAAAATATTATTACAAAGATCCGACTCGGAATTTGCTTAATTTTATTTTCTATTATTACTGTTATAAAATAACTAAAGCAATTTACTGCAAATCTAGGCAGAATTCTATTGTATTTGAGGTACAAAGAGGGGTAAACCACGAGAACCGCTATTTCAACAACGCGAGAAATTCAACACATGGCCCCTTTACTGCTGGATACATATTTTGTACTCGAATCGAAAAGTTATTAATGTGAGACCTTGGACAGCAATAAGTTGCTCCGGGTATGCTTTACTTTACTTTAATAATAATAATAATAATTGATGAAGGATCTTGCGAATTTGGTTGAAATTAAACTTTTTCATCAAATTCTATTAAAAGTAAAAAAAAATACGCAGAAAATTAGAATAAAATTTTTCATTTAAGATTCGCAAAGAATTGGAAAAAAAAGAGACAAAATAAATTAAATTTTTTATCCAAAATACAAGACGGAAAAACAATAGAGTTTTGTTAAATGTTTATTTTCCAAGCAAAAACAATATTCTCCCGAAAATGTTCAAAATCCTTTAGTTCAAAACTACTTATTAAACAAGAAGATTACAAGATTTGCCGAATTTGCAATGTGCAGTGAGAACTGCAGCTCTAATTATTCTTGTATGAATACCATATTTTACTCTCTAAATTGTACTTGTAACTCCATTGCTTAAGATATTCAGTGAATAAATTATTATTGTTATTTTGAAGTAAATAAATAACATCTGTTGGTAAACACCCCGTTTATTATAAATTTACTTAATAAAAGTAACTAACAAAAATTTTATTTCATTACCTGTGATAACTTTGGAATATAATTGTTTTGCTACCAAGTCCTCTATTAAATCAACTGCACTCATAACAAATGTAGTAACGCCTCTGGAGTATTTCTTTAAGACATCAAAGTTTTTGCCAAGTGGAAAAACAGTTACATCTGTGGGTGAAATTTTTTTATACTTTTTTGATAACATAAAAATGTTTGTGTAGTAACACCTATATAGTAATGCAGTAACATCTCTGGAATATATTATTAAAACATATAAGTTTTTGCCCTGAAGAAAAATAGGTGGAAAAATTGCTTGAATTTTGATTACAAACAAAAACATTCAGGGTATTTTTTTTAGTATCACTATTTATTAGTATCACAGGGCATCACTATTTTTCTAAGTTTATTGTAACATAAACAATATAAATCTAACATTATAAAACTAATAAAAAACTGTTTGAAAGAGCTTAAAAATTAAAAATAATTTAATGAGAAAGATGTCTTTCTTTTAAGTCATTCGCTTAAATACTGCTTCTTTTTATGTGATATTGCAACTTAAATCCTGCATAGATTAAATCGAAAATAACACAGCAAAAAAAACTACTATTTTATTTAATAATATGACGTTAAAAAAAAGTTCAGATAAATTGTGTAAGTTTTTTAACGAGAGAAAATTATTTTCATGTAATATTCTGCTGCCATCTAATGGCAAAATCAAACATTAAGATTTAATTCAATAAAGTTTTATAAAATATTGGGTCTTGTTGTTTCTACTAGAGCCTTCATAATCAGTAAAACAGTGAAATTAATGTTTTCAATGAAACAGCCCCGGAAAATTTAAAATGTAAATAATTTTAAGAATATTCATTTCATTATTTTTTACACTATTAAAATAATTGTAGTCAAACCTTTGAAAAGGATTAAGAATAATGGTAACTGTAAAGGCAATATGAAATGTTTAATGCGGTTAATTTTAACTGATGTATAAACTAACACAGGATTAATTTAAACTAACTTAAATGCAAATATTAAAGCAACTGGAAATGTATGCTACTGCCTGCGCCTTTTATCTAAAAAAAGTTAAACATATTCTGTTATTTGTATTGATTGCAAATGTTAAGGTTTTGTGTTTATAGACAATTGTCTGAATAATGCAATGAAAAAAACTTTGGGATAATAAGTATTTTAACAAATATTGATGCATTTTCTATACATTTTGAATAGTGTTTCACAAAATTTAGTTTGGAGACGACGAAAAAAAAAGGGGGAGAGAAAGAAAATATGTAAAATTTAGTTCGGAAAATAATCAAAAATACTCGCACATGAAAAATTATTCTTGAATTTGGTTATGATACCTGATGGGTATTTTGGAGCTCTTTGCTGCAATGAGCTTATAGCTTACTTGTCTTTAAGATGAATACTTTAGAGTGATTGGCTGAGTTTTACAGGAGATGAATATCAGGTCAGTGATGAACGAAAGATAGAAATTTGAGAAAAATTTAGTTCCAAGGGAGAAAAGAAAAAAAATTAACCGCATATGTAAAAATTAGTTTGAAAAAAACAAACGGAGAAAAACAATTGCGTTTGTAAAATTTAGTTTGAAAAGAGAGAAGAAAAAACTCGCGCAGGAAAAATTTAGTTTGAGAAAAGAAAAAGAAACGAAGGAAACTTTCTCAGGTATGTAAAATTTACTTTGAAAAAAAATAAAAGGAAGAAAATACTAGTCAGTGTGAAATATAGTTTTCAAGAAGAAAGAAAAAGACAGGAAATTAATATGTTACCTCGGTGTGCTAAATGGAAATCAGTCAAAGCTTTATCAAGTCTGGCATGTTGTGCAGTCTGTCGTCCTGGTGGTGGAAGGTCTTCAGAAAAATCAAATAAAATTACAACCTGAAATACACGAATTCACATTAAAGGGTTGTTATTTTTTACCATTTCAGATAAAAAAAATTTAAAAAAGCACAAAGAAAAACAAATAAATCAAAACAGTGAAGCCGATAGTAAAAATATTCGACTCCGACATCCCAACTGCTACTTAGACTTGAGCTATATTTAAATTTCCACAGAATTCTAGCAAATTATTAATATCAATGTAATGGTAATGAATGGTAAGTAAATGGTAAGTGTTAATTTCAAGTTTTATCGTTTTAGATATTTCTAAAAAATACGATTAGATTTAACGATTAATAGAATTAAAACTTGTATTTTTTAACACATATATTTATAGAAAATATTGAAATAAACTTGAAATAGGTATAATACATCATCTTTTTATATAGATAAAAATATACATTTTCTTACCCTTCCATTTACCCCGCTCTTTTGAGTGTCGTTCTCGTTCTTAGCAGCCAAATACTGGTTGAGAGCAATGATCATTTCATCTGGAGCACTGCTGGCAGCTGGATCTAAAGTGCAAAAAAATATAATATAACATGATATGATATGATATGATATGATATGATATGATATGATATGATATGATATAATATAATATAACATGATATGATATGATATGATATGATATGATATGANCGAACATATATATGGTGTTAATATAATATATAATATAATATAATATAATATAATATATTATAATATAATATAATATAATATAATTTCTCTAACTGCCACTTACATTATCTCCTTGACACAGAATTTCTATTTAAAATATATTTTATTATCAATTTAATTATAATAGTTATGAAGTACAGCATGAAATATGGAGTTTTTTCTGCGTTAAAAGTAATATCTACCGAAATCAAAGTAATATCAACGGCTCAATTCCAAACAGTAATTTTTCAAATTTGTTGATATTACTTGATTAAAAACTTCCTTTCCTTCAAAAATATGCAAATTGGAAGTAACAGTTGACATATTTTCAAGGGCTCAGAAATAGTCACTCATTTTCAAGACTTACCAGATGAGAATTAAAAGAAACTGAAGTGATTTGAAATCCAAGCAGCTTTGCGTTTCATAATCACATTTGTTTCTTCTCGTTAGGCAAGTCTAGAAAATGGGAGCTTATTTTTGAGCGTTTGAAACAAGAGGACTATTATTTCCAATTCGTATATTTTTGAAGCAAATGAAGCTTTTAATCAAGTAAAAGGTTCAATATTGCTCATAAAAAGATAACGATAGTTACTAAAGCATCTTCCACATGATGTACTTAAAGAAAAGTGTGCATAAAAATAAAATTATGCATGTAATAAACAAAATCACAGTTGGTCTTTTTCCAAAACCAGCTTAATCCAAAATACTTACAAAACAACATTAAAAATAAAGTGCTTTTGACAATGAAAATTATTTTCAGATAATTATGGATGTCCCTGAACTTTTTTCTTTGTTTAAATTTTTGAATGCGTTTTTTTTTCATGTAATTGTTTGAGTAGGATTAGTAGCCAAACAACCCAAATCATCTAAATGAAGCTAATATTAAGTTTACTGCAAGTGTCGTTAATGCTGGATGTGTTTGTTTATGTCAGTTGTCAAAAAGTTGAAAGAAGAACATTCAAGTTAAAGGAATGAGATGTGCTTAAGAGATCGGATGAGTTTCTTGGAATAGCGTGTGACGATAGATGAGGTGAGAATATGTGACAAAATTTGCAGGAAGGTTATTGCTCCTTAATATATTTAATTTTTAATGATTTAACTTTTTCGTTTGCTTTGCTAAACTAAATCAAATATAATTTTCAAAATTAATTATGGCTTGTCATTACTTGCTCATTTGCCAATTTGAAAACCCTCTCGAGCACAATGTTAGAAATTTCTTGAAAAAAAATTAGTTAAATAACAATTTATTTAATTGTTATTATACCAAATTTAAACGAAACAGTCACATAACCATAAATAAGACGGTATTTAAACTGTTAACTGTGAGAAAGACCGTTTATTATCTGCTCTAAGCTAATACGATATATAAGCAGAATTTTATAACACTAACTAGGCCTACCTAATAAAGCTACTTATTTCCTAGCAGCTTGGTATATATTATAGCCTAGAGGACTAATCTGTCGATCTCATGACCGACAGAAAGTTGTGATCGAGTCTCAGCGTTTACACCACAATATTTCATCTATTTTATTTAATATATGAAGAGTTTCACTGTTCTGTGCTCCCCAATTTGTGACCCTGGAATACAATTCTCTCATTCCAGCATAGGTAGCAGTACCATAAAGCTGCATAACAAATCCGAAGTATAATATTTCTTATCTCGAACGAAAAGGGAAATAACTAGATAAACTAGTTAAACAGCATTCCACGATTCATTTAAAAAAGCACAACTTAACCACTACATAATTGCAATGTCCATTACCTAATGAAAGGTTACCATGTCCAATTAAATTTCTTTTAGTGTTTTGAACCCATGCCAGTTGTAAATGGTTAAAACTACATAGCATTTATTAACCATAACTAGTTGTAAACGGTTTCAAAACCCTAAAGGTGAAAATTTTTCCTTACTTTAAACTTTACTGTTAACTTAATGGACAGATATCTGACTGTTATTTTACTGTAATTTTGGAATGAAAATTGTGACAGTGTAAAATTACACGCTTTTTTCGATTACCTTTTGCAATTTGCGTGACTGCGCAAGCAGCACAGGCTGGAGAATAAGTCTGATCCGCTACTGCCTTCAAATATATTGTTCCTGGTGTTGAAACTGATGGGGTTAATTTCTGGTCTGTAAATATTGTCATTTTGCTTCCACCGTGGCTGAGTTTCAATCTTTTAGCCAAACCCCTAAGGAGTACAAAGAAAAAAAATAATGTTAAAGTTAAGCTTCACCGATTTTAGTTTGTTGTTGAAATTTGTTGCAAGCTCTCTCAGAAATAAAACTATCACTTTCGATGACTTAGCAATTATTGAGTTATATTTCGTTAATTTTATTGAATTATTTCGTCATGAAATTACTTGACGAAACGGAAACTGAAATATATGACGAAAACGTTTTCTCAACTCGAAACCTCTGTGCATCGTGGGAGAATCACAAAAAGAACGAAACTAGGACAAAAACTAGACGATCGAAAATTAAGTGACGAAATAAATTGGTCCAGTATGTATAGTGGTTAAGGAGTTGGCCTGGTATCAGAAAGACTCCGGTTTCGAATCCCGCTTCCGGCATGAGTGTAAGTTATCTCTCTGTTCTACTCGTCGTTCTTGTATTATTATAGTGGCATTGACTCAGCTTTATGATGCTCACAATAAAGTGGCCATTAGAAGAGTTAAATACGTCAGAAACTACAAGGTTTTTTATTTATTTTTTTAAATAGAATGACGAAATATTTTGTTACTATTGACGAAATGCGTTTTTTTAAAAAAGGGTCGATAGTTATTTCGTCACTTTTTTGAGAAACGAATTTCGTCAATGTGACGATATATTTCGTTATTTATGACAAAATTCGTTTTCTTGAAAAAGTGTCGATAGTTATTTCGTCACCTTTTTGAGAAAACGAATTTCGTCAATGTGACGAAATGTTCGCACGGAGTATGTCCAAGAAAATATTTCGTCAAAAGAGAAGAAAGTTTCCAGGAACTAGAGTATTTATTTTTTTACAGCGAGAAGAAACAAGTAATTAATTTTTCAAACACCGTCCCGCTAACAGTGGTCCTCTAGTTAAGACACTGAGCTATCATTGTAAAGAACATGGATTCGGTTCCCAGAGATGACTTGAAGCCCATCCGGCTTTATATCGATGGATATCAGTTTGTCTGAGAAGTAAAAGAGGTCGGTACGCAATGCCATCATGTCATTGGTAACGAAATTGGAGATAATTGGCGAACTTAGGGATAAGCTTCATTTTTTGTTATTGAAAGAAAAGTCTAACTTTAATTTCTTCTTTATTGGCATAACTTCACACAGATTCCAATGGGTGCTTTAATATTGAATTGATTATTGGCATTGACAGCTTTGTTCATGACTTTTTGAGCTATGCTAAAATTTTTGAGGCATAAAATATTCTATTGAAATTAGATAACTCAAACAAGATTTTTTTTTTGTGTGAAATTTTGTTTAACTTCTTACCCAATAATCAATTGTTGTCTTTTAAAGTCTTCGTCAGTAGTACCTGTATCCAGAACGGCAATAACATCTAGTGGAGTTTCAGAGGTAAATTCCTCTAATTCTACAAAAAAAATATTATAATTACGCATTAATTGTACGCTGTATCAAGATAGTATTGTTTATATAATGTATTGTATTGTATAATTGTATCAACAATTTAGAAAGCAATTGCACGTTTTTGTCGAAAAAATTTCTTTTCATTCTTTTACGTAACTCGTCACAAACTACATTTGCATTTTAATAAATTTAGAAAGTTCATAAAAATAATCAGAAAATGCAACATGTGATCAAATATATCAAAGTATCTTCTCGTTTCTATAAAGTTAAGAAAAAAATCCTAATAAATATTTTAAATGAAGGAAAACTTAAGAAATAAATAATTTAAAATTTAATAAGTGGTCATTATTAGCATGAATTGAGATTTTTTTGCCAGCTACTTTGGGTTATTTTCAAGCATCATATTTAATTCTTTATTCAATAATCTCGAAATTATAAAATAATTATTAATAATAAGAATTAAAAAAAAACATATGATTTTAAATATTATAATTGCGGTCTAAAATAAACTAAGAATTAATCATAATAAATACAAACTTTAGAATAAGCATAAGAAACTCTAAAACGATTGAAACCTAGCGGTAGAAAATTATTAATTTGTAAATATATCGTATGTTTATTCAAAGTTTTTACCATAAACTTTATTTCATTTTCAAGCAATATATTTTTGACATTTTAATAATAATAAATTTAATGATACTAATTTTAATGATAATAAATGAATAATAATAAAAAATTTAAATGATAATAAATAATTAAATAAGAAATACGTGACTTAAAATACCTAAGTTGCTTTTTTAACAGAAAAAGAATGAATCATAGTAAAAATCTTGATAAAAAAAGAAAAAGAACTTTAAAAAGAATTCAAGACAGCATTATGAATTCATGATTATTTGTCTTCAAATTTTTCACCAAGTATTTTATTTTATTTCAAGCAATATATTTAAAGCAGAAAAACTGTTATAAAAATACTTACTATTTTCCGATAAACTTGCACCACAGTAATCTAGAGTCACTGAAAGAACAGAAAGTATACTTTTTAATCTAAAATTATAAATTATCTCTTATCTAGTACTCAATGAAATTTTAGTTAGCTTATAATGTTAATTATCACACAATTTATGTTAATTTATATTGTTTTAAATTACTTTAACTTTACCGGCATCAAAGTTGAAGCATGAAAACATATCTAAATTTTGTGTACACCAAAAATGAAAGAACCACAAAGTGAAGGTCTACTTATAAAAAATAAATAAATAAATAACTAGTGTGAAAAATTTTCTGTCAAAGCTTTTGCCGCTAAACTAAGCGGTGACTTTTAATTTCGACTTGAGTATTAGGTGGCTTATGTCAGAATATGCGCGTGTCAATAAAACATGAAAAAAAAAAAAAAAACAGTTATAACATTTGTAATCAGATGAGATTTGTTTTCCGATTTTGTCAGTCTAATAATATTACTTACGTTATTATAGAACTGTTTTATTCTATTATATTATAATTACGAAATAGGTTGGAACAAACTCTCGATTACTGCTCGTTTCTTTTCAACTGACTGGTAAATTTAAACTGCAGGGAAGCTAAAGCTCGCCAAGAGAAGAAAATATCTATCGCTTTTACCTTTCTTCTCAACTAGTAGTGTCACCTATTGAGGAACTTAGTAAGCAATTTTGAAACTTGGAGTGAATAAAACAACTAGTTGCTTAAGCAGAAACAATACATTTCTAATTCATTATATTTTTCTTTAATTTATTTTCCTAATCAGCTGTCATTTTTTGGAACATTAGGTATCTCTTATCAAGTAATGATAATTACGGATCGCTAAAATACAAATAGAATAAATTTTTGGCAACATACTTACATTTATCCATGTTTTTCAAAACACCCTTTTGCTTTGCTTCGTTATATTTGCCCCATGAGAAGGACAGGCTGTCATCGATTTTGCTGAAGGTGGTACTGGCAAGTAATATGAACAGGTGTACTTGTTCTTTGATCATCTCTTCCCAACTTGACAGGAGATATTCTCTGTTGCAAAAAGAAGCGTGTATGTAACCAAGATCTGGAGTTTTTCCAGCGAAACCTCCTCTACTGTAATACTGGCGTAAGATTTGACTCAGCTTAATGTCCTGTCTCTTTGTTTTAATGTCAGCCATTATTTTTCCGAGGATGAGACCTAAATAATATTTAAAATACACAGAATTAAAACCCATTTTTATGAATAAAAAAATTTTATTATTTATTACTCATATATACATGTCCAAATGTAAATATATACACATATATACGTGTCCAAATCAAAATAGGGCCGCATGGATAAGGCAGAAGATTGAGGATAAAGCTAGAAAAAATGCATGAAAGTGAACTTACTATAGTTTCGGTTTCATAAACAAATACTTTCATCAGTGTTTTATGATGTAACATCGAATTCGGTAATAATTGTTTGTAGAACTGACACTATTGTATGCCTATTTTTGTACCTTTGTACTTTATTCATGTTGCTTTGTTTTATTTATAGATACATGTCTTGACGTGTAAAATATGTTGCCTATCAGGGCAGAAGGTGAAAGATTGAAATCTTGAAACAGGTTAGAAACAAGAACTTTCGAAGTTGGCAGCGAAATTATAAAAGAGAAAAACTATTACTGAAAAAGAAACCGTGGTTACCGATGAGATGGCATTGGAGGAAGAAGACAAATCAGTACGGAATACATTTTATTGCAGAATGCTTGGGTGGAGCAGAACTAAGATAATTTATTAGAGAATATGCATTGTGATTGATATGAATGAAATCAGACTCAAGGGCATCAAGATGAGTTGATGTGTCAAGAGTAGGATTCACTTTGCAGGTACCAAAATTGAGTTTTGTGCCGCATTCAATGACTTGTCTTGCTCTTGATGACTTGTCTAGCTTCTTGAATTATCAGTCTAAATTACTGATCACCCCTAGTTTGAAAAGCTCAGCCTAGATTACTTCTGCAAGGTAAGTCGTAAATTTCAAAGCGAATATCAGTGCTTATAGACCCTTACGGAAGTTGAATTTAGTTTGACAAAGCTTGAAAACTAATATTAAAATCAAAACGTGAATATATAGCATAACTACTGTTTCAAAAAAGCTGTGAAAATTGGTAGGCGAATGCTGATAGGGTCTTTTAAATTTTAGTCTAAATTTTTAAACCTTAAGGTATCTTGCTGAATTGAAAACACAAGAAACGCATACACGTAATTTGACCACAGCACACAGTTTGAAAGCTTTCTAAAATTTATATTTTATTTATTTATTTACTTTTAGTTAGCATTCTGTTACTTACCGTCTGCAGCTCCCCTCATGGAGGAATATGAAAATGCCTCATTTGTTCCATCAGGAAGTCTGTACATCATTGGACAGACGTTGCTAGTTTCAATCTCAGAGCCAATAGGGACAGATTTCCATATTCCATTTTTAGCTAAATCCTGTCTTTGCAAAGCTTCAGGTCTCCAACCAGCCATGGCAATAACCTCTGAAAATAATATGGGAAAATCCATTTCATTATAGAGAAGCGTCTTTTTTTCGTGATCTGCTGAATATATTCGAAAATCTCAAAATAAAGCTCTCATCATTTGTGCGCCTTTAAATTTTTAGTTCGCGATAATTAGATATTATTAGAAAAAGAAATGTACTTACTTTTAGTGAGTTTAGTTTTTTTAATAAATTTTTTTAATCGGAAAGCGCAATTATGTAGAGAATGATAGTTAAAAGTTTTCAAAACCTCAAAATGCTACTTCCTAGTAGCTTCTAAAAGGACTGATACTTTTTTTAAAAACCATTCTGGTCTGGTACTTTCCATCTGATATTTATCAAATATTATTTGACAAATATACTTTCTTTAAATATTTTTAAAAGTTATATTTATTTATAACAAGTACTAATTTATTGCCATCGGTATTTATGTAGTTCAATCGAAGTATTTGATTGTAAAAATAAAAATAGTGAAAAATTGAAGAAGATTCACTTGATTTATGTCTATTGGTTAACATACGTGCTACTGATTTGATTTGTGTCTATTTTTGTCACTTGATTTATATCTATTAGCTAGCATACGTACCTGCAATTGTAAGAGTGTATAAAGGATCCACAGTTGCTCCCTGTGGAATTAGATCTTTTGGAACATGAGAAAATTCTGATATTTCTCTTTTTCTTCCTTCATTCAATCCAACATAAATACCAGTTAGAACTCTCCCCAGATCAACGGCTTCTAATGACCCTTGAATGGACACAACACCTTGCTCCATGGGGTACAAATCTTCATCATTGTATTGAAAGTCACTCCTCAGTTTATATTTACTGAAACTGATAAAAAACATTACATTTAGTTATAACGAGGAAAAAAAAAGATTATTTAATTTTGGTATTAAACGTTTGGTTGCAAAACTTGACGAAAATACTTTCACCTAACAATACATAATTTCTGTATCAGTAACCTTACACTAGAGTGCAAATTAATAGCATGGTTTATTACAAACCGTAAGCTAATTGGGCAAAAATTTGTTAGAGCTTGAGCTAAATCTCATGTTGCCGTCCCTTCGTCTCTGAACTTACGTAAATTAAGTAAGGAAGTGCGTCCGCATGCTGTTAAAACCACTCGCAGAAAGTTTGACGAAGATCTGAAAATCATCTGATTTGATCCCCAGGGGAAATAAGTGGGATATTTTGAGGCAGTTGGCAAATCACCGAAATCATCACCTAAAAAGTTTCGGCGGATTTGCGCAACCGAATTCTCGGTTTGCAATATACTTAGTAAACTCACTCCCCAATATGCATCCAAGCAATTCAAAAAATTGAGTCATACGAGCTGCGGGTTGAGTTGTTGAGCTGTGATTGCTCATGTAGTAGTGTGTTTGCCTCCTACTGGAGGTGAACCGGGTTCGTGTCCCAGCTGTAACTGGTAGATTCACATACTCACGCGGCTTGCACCGATTATGGTGCTGACGTAAAATATCTTTAGTGGTATGATTCTAAAATAGTGTCCCCTTGACGTCAGGCTAACCATGGAAGATGTTTGTGGCTTTCCTTCCCATGTAACGCAATTCTCCTAATACTTGATCCAGAAGTTCCACTGTCTTCTGGATTGGATTCAAAATTACGAAATTACGGAGTTAAACATCACTAGTTGTAAATTCAAAATCGAATCGGCTGTTTGACGACGGTTATAAAATACTTTTGTTAAATAGCAATATGTAAAATAAACAAAAATAAGAAACTCACCTATCGTTGATAGTTTCATTGTCGGGAACAGCAGCCCTTTGTTCACTAATTTTTCTTGAATTTCGAAGAATTGAATGAGACAGCATGAAATACAAACTGCATTTTTCACCATCTGTAAAAGGGTCCTCAACCTGAGGGACACTCGTTCTACGTTCTGCTACTGGTTCCCAGAATGTTTCGATATCCGCGTAATTAGAATCCTTGGGCGTCCACCGATTAATGTCTCCAATGGGATTGTACTCAATGTTGTCGTATGTGAAACTGAAAATTAACAACGAATAAAATAAAGAAATTAAATACTTGAGAAAATGCTGATGAAAATCTATGTCTCAACATCGGACTTAAAAAATTCAAAAAACAAATGGACCAAACAATTGGGCTAAATTTTATAGATAACATAGAAATATTTCTTCGCTTTCTGCTCGATTGAAAGATAAAATTTATTTAACAAACTTAAAATAAATTAAAAATTAAATACAATAAGCATAATTGCATTTAAATAACTCACTACAATTAATTTTACTATTTGCGCAATGATTTTTCTGAATTGATTTGAAAGCAAAATAATTCAATTTTCGTCCTAGTGTTATAAATCAAAACATATTTTACATCAGTGACGAAAAAGAAATGTCTCACAAAGAAACAAACAGAAATAAATTTAATTTTCTTTTTTCATTCTCTGCGTGACACGGATGTTTATATAGTTAATTGTGTTTCCGCCTCGTTTACATCATATTTTGAAATCTTGTTTCATTCATATAAATTTCGATTCCCTGTCTGACGATATGAGTTCCGCAACTCCTCTCAATAGCATTTGAAAATGCAGCCTACCCTGATTTGCCTCTTGGCTACTGTGGTTTTTATAGTTTGCTTTCCCAATTTATTTCACTTTTTTTGTGGGCAATTTTGCCTTTTATTTTTTAAATCTGGGTTTCTTTTTTCTTCTTCTTTTTTTTGCAATCCTCACTTGCAAGTCTTAAAAATAGGCGCCTACTTTTGAGTGCTCAAAACATGACAACTTTTTTTTCCCTTTTATATTTTATGAAGCAACTAAAATATTTACGTTATCTAGTAAATACTAATAGTTATCTGCTCTCATAACTTTTTTAATGTGATTTTCATGTTTTCTCTTAAATTTATATTAAAAAAGAAAAAGATATCTTTAGTAAACTTGGGTTTTTATTTACAAAAATGAAGTTTTAATTGCAAAGTTTAAAATGTTCCAAAATCAATAAAACACTGAATTTAACTCATTTAAAAAACATTCAATATTCACAAATAATTAGTTTGCTTACTTTCTAATAAAGTAGAAAATCTCATCTTTTAAGTCCTTCGTGGGATTAGCAGCCTCGAATTTTTCTGCCAAGGCGATGAAATTCTCCAAAGTACTGGCCAAAGGATTTTCTTGACCATTTATGTACGGTAGATTTTTCTCATTCAATCTGAAGCACATAGGTGAAATGAATGTTTCAAACTCCCTTGGAGTCATTAAGCCCCATGATGGACTCGATATGAAAATGCCTAAAGAATTAATAAACATTGTTAGCGCATTCATATTAAAATAGGTAAACAGTAAATGCTTAGCATTGGTTTCAAAGCATTATTACAACTTTTGCATGAATTTTAAAGTATTGACAAAGAAAAAAAAAGAAAAAAAAAACTGCGCCTTATATAGGGAAAAACAGTACCTTATCTGTTATTATTTCCTGGTGTTCTTTGTGCACACTTCTAATAAAACATTTTATTTTGAAGCATTGATATTAAAACGACAAAAATTTAAAATTAGATTGTTGCGCGTCTACCACTGCAATTTTTCAATTCCAATTCGCTAGTATATAAAACTTGTTAACATGATTTTAAGTTAGGATACCTTTTCATAGATGAAGGTAGACATTGTAAATTACACTCTCCCACATTGGTGGACGTGATCAGAACACGCCTACCTCGATAGACATGTCCACTTTGATTTGAAGACCCCTACCTTGATAGATAGTTCACACTAAACAGTTGACTTGCTATTTGTGACTGTGACATTGCTCTCATCATGCTGTTGCAACTCAGTCTCGATCACACACGATGTTGGCTTGTACATACTGGACAGTTAATGGCAACACATGAGTGACCACAATTATGAACTTAATACAGCTCTCATGATCAGCAGCCTAAGTTCGGTGATCTTAATACAGCTCTCTCTGCTTCTGTCAAATCAGCAATGAATCAATTAGTGGTATCCGTTCATCAAACTCAATCACAGTTAAAATTCAGGTTGGGGAGTACTGCAGCATGTCTACCATTACAACTATTCACTTTCATGTCACTAGTATCTAAGACATGTTAACTCGGTTCTTTGGGTATTTTTTCATAGATGAAGGTTGACTTTGTCGATAACACTCACACACAAGATAAATTATCCATGTGTTTCTGGATGTATTATAATTTGTGAATGTACTTGAATACATAAAACAATAAAATATTCAGTTCTAAATCTTTAGCACATAGCATTAATTTATGAAAAATGTTTGGTTGTTTTTAGGTATGATTAGAGTAGTTCTTGCTTTTAATACCATATGAAAAAATAAAAAATATAATTTTACAGCATTAATAAAATATGAATCAGATCTAGAAAAAATAAAATTTAGTTTTAGTGAAAGAATTGAAATAAAAAAAATTTTATTTTTATTTTTTAATGAAACGCACGAAACATGTATTTGTTTTCGAAATAGATAAATAGTAATAATAAATAGAGTACTGGAAAAAAGGTTTTTCATCCAGATATATGTGACTTAATTTTAATATTTAAATATTCTTATTTTCTTGAATATTATTATAGTTTTTATCATAATTAAAAAAATAATGTTTTTGCAAAATAAAGAGAGATCTTGAACACATTTATATTGAGTTTGCTTTATTTCGGAACATTTATTTTCATTGAATTTCGGTAGAGAAAATCAACAGCTCCTGTATATTTTTGTAGTTGAGTTATATTTCTTCAAAATAATAATATAATTTTATAAAATATATATAAAAAAATTTTTTTTGAACTTGTTTTCAGTATCGATACATGTTTTTATTTAGTGACATCATATTAAGTCATCAAAGATAAAATTTACAGAAAAAAGTCAAAGTTGGTTGATACACTCAGGGATATAAAAAATATTTTATGCATGTTTTCCTTACAGTTTTGCCATTAGAGCTGTAGGTTGCTTAGGACAAAAATTGTTGAACTAGTTTTGAAACAATAAACTTATCTTAAAATTTTTATCATTATTATAGTGTACTTACTTGTGAGAGCGAGGAATGAAAGAAGCATGATTGTTTTCTGTATAATGACTATAAAATAATGCAAAAATATTATAACACAATAGTTTATATTCTATTTACAGAAAAATAAACATAAAATTAAAACAATTAATTAAATAATACAAAAATAATAATTAAGTGATAAATAAGTTATCTTTATAAGTAGATATTTGTCTTCGAAGCAAAAAAAAATAAATAATATTTCACGACAGTTGTTCTTATGAGTATCATCAATAGTTAAAATTTACTCTGAGTTAAATGAGGTTATAATAGTTAAAATGATTGGAATGCAAGGTTCTAAAATATGAAGTGTAATTAGTATTTATAAATATTTTTATAATGCAATTATTGTTTATAAATATTTTCATTGTGCAATTAATGTTTATAAATGTTTTAATAATGTAGTTATTGTTTATAAATATTTTCATTATGCAATCATCTTTTTATGAATATTTTAACTCTGCAATTTTTATTTTAAATTATTTTTATAGTGAAATTATAGTAAGTAAGTATTTTTATAGTGCATTTATAAATTTTATACTGCAATTATTTCATACTTATACATAATTTTCATACTTACAAATATTTTCATGCTGCAATTATTGTTTTTAAATATTTTTACAGTGCAATTATCGTTTATGAATTCTTTTATAGTGCAATTATTTGTAAATATTTTTATAGTGGAATTATAAATAAAGTTATGAGGAGAAAACATGGAACCATCACTCGAATTAAAAGGGATTGAGAATGAAATAATAAACGAAGTTACTATATTGTTTGTTTTTTGCTAAAAATACATCCGCATTGAGCTTATAAAATTATTGTTATTCATAAATGTAATCTCTTAAACAAAATTTAATATTTTAAGCGTACAAAATTTGTAATTTTTCATCGTGTGAATGTCAAATTTTGATGTACAATACCTTTCAAACAAAAAATGTCTAGACTAAGTAAACTTAAATGTTGTTTCACTATGTGTTAAAAAAGATAAATTTATATCTATGCGATTAATATATTTTTATAAATTAACATATTTTAATTTATTATCAATTTGTAAGCAAATTTTCAAAATCTATAAAATAAAATGCAAAATTTCGTCACTATTGCACATAATTTTAGTTAATATCACATAGTTTTTTTCTCTCACTTGTAAGCTGTTAAGTGCACAAAAGAACTTACTTACTGTTTTAACCCATTAGGCGCCGAAGCTCCCTCCACGGGAACAACTGCACTTTATTTCTTTCGCTTCCCCTTCATTTATTAATTTAAATTCCATAAAAGCATCATTAAATATTAACTATGGTAATTTTTATTAATTTTTATGAGAATAAAAACTTTAAAATTAAAACTAAATTCTTAAACTTTAAAATTAATATGATAAAAATAGGTAGAATGAGAAAAGAGTGATTTTTTCCATTCACTTTTTTAAACACAAAACTTCAAAATAATTTTCCCCCTTAATTGTGGAAATCTTTAAAAGAAATTCCTCTTCAATACCCGTCAAAAGCAGATTCAAAAAATTTAAAACAATGAGTTGATAGCGACCTCCCTGCTGGTTGGTCCCGATATGGGAGCTTGGCGGGACGTGAAGAGAACAAACAATAAAAATAAAAGTAATTAATTTTTTCTCACAAAACCTTTCCCCCTGCTTTATATGTTCATCATTAAATGAAATGATTTTAAAAGCTCCAAAAAATATTGTTATTTGATTTTACAGCGACGATTGGGTTAAAAACAAAGAGCTGCTAGCAAAAGAGCACGCTCGCAAAAATCCAACAAAGCTTTAAGTGCAAGAGAAATTAAAAAATTGAAAATCCTTTCAGAAGATTTTACGAAATCGTTTCTTTTTTTATAATTACCAGGCTTTTATGTTATTTACTAAGACAATATTAGCAAAAATATTCATTTATCAATTTAGTTGCAAAATTCAAGAATAAATGTATTAAACATGATTCATAAACTCTTAGATCCCTGCAAACACTGCTTATATAACAGAACAACTTCTGTAAGCATTCTGTTTAAGTTTTTTGAACCAACCAAAACATTATTCAGCTACCGTACAGAAAAATTGACATTTTATATTTTTACGCACTTTTATAAATTTTAGAGAATGTTGATAACTTAAGAAGATGCAATAACGGGGAGAAATCTTCCTGGTTCGTTCTAAATTGTGTTTCTCATGAACTGATAGTTCAAAATTTGGAGAAATATTTTTACTAGTAAACCATGAAGTTTCTGAAATGCTGAAAAAGCGGTTTCAAAATATCAAAATGAGAAAAAAATTATTGCACGATTACTTTCCCAACATGAGATCCTAAGTAAGCTCGCCGTAATTTATTTGCATTTAAATATTTTTAAAGAATTTTTAGAAATTAAAACATCATGGCCAACTTTAATTTTTGCCTGAACTCACTTTTCCCTAAACTTAAAAGTAATCACCAATTTAGGAGAAACAGAATTTGCGAGGAAGGGTTTCTCCTGTGGTTCAGCGTCCTCTTAAGGATGAGAAACTTTTCATCACAAATTCTGTGAAACAGCTCCATTGGTGATTTTTTTTTTAAGTTTTAAGTTTAGAGATAAGTGAGTTCAGGCAAGCTTAGAGTAGGCCATAAAGTTTCAATCTCTGAAAAATAATTCCAAAATTTCAAAATGCAAATAAATTATTGTAAGCAAACTTCCCCATTTCAAAATACTAAGTTATTCTCTCATAATTTGATTTCATTTTGGTAGTTTGAAGAATTCTTTTTAGTATTTGAAACTGCATGGCTTGCCCTACATTTGCCTGAGCTCAGTTTTTTTCTATCCTTTAAACTTTAAATTAGTTCTGGAGTTGAAAGATAACTCGCGATGAAAAGTTTTTCCTTGATATAGATCCTCTTAATACGTTGCCAACTTGAGCCGCCATTTCATGTAAAGTATTCCTTCTGAAGCTCGATTATACTAAACGTCAGTTCAACCTGAACCAAAGTATGATTCAGTCCTACTCATCATTATAGTCGTGGCAAATCTCTAAAGCAAAATGGTTGAGAATTCCAATCTTGCGTGAATGTTTGTTCCTGAGAGTGAAGAAATGGCGTTAGAAATTAGTTATAGCCGTCAGTGCTATAATTGATTGAAATTAAAGCTAATACATGTAAATTTCACAAAAGATCTATATGAATAAGGTTATGAAACATTTTAATTTTAGACGATCTCAAAGAAGGGAAAATTTTAGATCAAATGTATTTTGCGAGTTGGAGATATGTTTCTTTAGGATTTCTTCCCTATTTAATATATGATTAATATCAATAAAATATTCATGAGAAGCTTTTTTTTTTAAAATGTATTACATACCTAATTTTAAATTAGAAGAGACTTTTATAATTCACATTAGATTTTTCTCTAGTGAACCACGCCCATGTATAATTTCAGTTTTGACAAAATGGCACTTGAATGTAGAAAATATGTTATTGATATCAAATTTGTATTAAAGTCCATGCGTAATAGATAACAGCTAACAGTTTTACAGGCTTATCTTTTTAGATACGAAAAAAATTGAAGAATGTTCTCATGTCTTGGTAAAAAAAAAGTCTTCGATTAAAAGATATATATATATATATATATACTCAGTATTTCAGATTCTCTTTTAATATTTTCTGGCAAAATTACATCAGTATAACTTTGAAATTTGAATTTTTAAAGGGAAATTTAGTTTTATACAAATGTCAGATTTTAGATATTCGTTAAATATAACTGTTTTTGTGTAATTTTAGTTTTGTGTAAGACAATTTGCATCATCATTCAAATTACAAGTATATGTACAGTATGAAATTATTAAACTAATTACCTATTCTTAATAACTAACCACATTATTTTATTACTTTGATATTTTAGCAAAAAATTATAGAAGTTCTAAAAGATGCACAGTGAAAAAGAGTATATTCAAGACTACCAGAATATGGTAAAATTTATCGTACTCCTGGTACTGTTAGGGGAAGACCATAAGCCGAAATATTCCAACGTACTTTGGTAATGATCTTGGTGAAAATAGAAATGAAACATAATTTTATAATGCGTGATAAAATTTGGTAATTTTGTCATAATACCTTAACTATTCAGTTAAAAAAAAATTTCAATTTTTTTTTACTAAATGTGTGGTAATAAGAATATAATTTCGCTAACCAGTATTTCCTGTAAACCTTTAACAAATAAACGGTAAAATTACCAATTAAATGGTTTGAATATGATATAGTTTCACAAGAATTACAGTATTTTTTACCATAATATCATTACCATACCGTGTGGTAATTTTATCAGAATTTTTTTTCCTCTATTAATCGTTATCAATAAATTCATCTTATAATTTTAACATTAAGCTCCCTTTTCTAAACACAAAACCTCACGCCATTTTTTAATTTCGAAAAAACAACAATCCCTCTCGTACAAATTAAGTTATACTCTAAGCTTATGTGGTCCATTATGCACCACACGTCAACGTTCTTTGAAAGCACTTCTGTTACAAAATAAATTTTGCACTTAGTTTAATGTTGTAACAGAATATGTGAAAGTGAAAAATTGTAGTCTAAAAAAGTTAAAATTTTCAAAAACAACGGTAAACCAAGATTAAAGGGTATAAGTAGTTCTATATAGGCAACTAGTAACAGATTTACCAGTTAGTTATGTTAGTAAGTAAACTTAAGTTAACTAGTTAAGCAAAATTGTTAAGCTTCTTGAATATTTATATAAGAGAAATGATAAGTTTTTGGTCAGGTATCCTAGGAACTCTCTAATAATTTAAATATTTGAAACAAATTCAAGATGGCGGTAGAAATTAAAAACAATAGAGAAAGATTTTTCATATTGTTTTAGTCAACTTAAGACATCTAAACCACTGCTTTGAAAGTGGAATAAAAGCTTTGCATCCTCCTAATTGTACAATGTGCATGTATTTTGTGACTCTAATTGAACCAGTACCTGCATCAATAAAAAAAAGCTCAGTATTGAAATAATTAATATGGAAGCTTAATGGGAAACTATACCGAATCATTTTAAAAGATTTGGCATTGGTCCAATTTGAATATCAGACGATTGCGCTATACTCCAAGAAAAACCCAAGCCGCCATCTTAAATTTACTTAGCGATAAGGGATGGGAGCTTAAATGTTGCTATTTAGACAAGTGAGGTAAGGGATGAAAAGGGGAAGAAACTTAAATGTTCCTATTTAATCAAATGAACTATTGTTTCCGATGTATTTTTTATACTGAAATTGAATATGACCAAAATCAAGTTGGTAGGATTAATAATTTAATAGTTATAAACAGTTTTACGTGTAAAACGAACGGTTTTTCACTTATCTAGACAAATGAAGAATTAATTTCCTAAATATACCTCTTTTTACACTGGATCAAACAGGATATAAAAGTCAGGATCAAAAAGTCAAACATTTCAACAGTTGTAAAGGTTTTAAGTTTAACTTTTATGCATAATTCTGGTATTTAAGCTAACAACTGTCATTACTAAAAAGGCATTAAAGTAATAAAGTAATTAGACTCGAAAAAAATGAACAGATTTTATATTTTAGAAAATTTCACATTTTACTTTTAGGCTGTATATTTTTCTTTAAGTTAGTTAAAGCTAAAAGGGTAAAACATTTTTAAGCAGATTTTGTTACTAAAACAAATTGTCACGATTGCTTTGTTAATAAAATAAAAAAATAGATACATTTTGATTTAATTATTTTGTTTACTTATGAGCGTTTTCAAAATAAATCAAGCACATATTACAAAATCACGTCTAGTAATTTAAGATGAACAGTTGTGTACTACGTTATGCTAAGTTTGACTGTGAATTCATTTAAGTCAGTTCAAGCTATAAAAAACAGGAAAAAGCGGAATTGTCTTAACCAGATTATTTATTTAAATTATATAATGCGGATTTAAAATTAAATTTTTTCATTACTAAAAATCTGAATAGAATTCCTTGACTGCTTATGAGCGTTTTCAAAATATATAAAAGCTAAGGTTTCTGTAAACACTTGTAGGAACTTGAGAACTACGATTTCCTTTTACGTTGGCGTAAATTTGACGGCTAATTTTTTTCAATCAGCAGTAAAGTTTAATTTTTTTTGTAGATGATTTATTAAAAGTGAATATGCAACTCCATTATTTATAAAACATAAATTTAATTACCTTTTGATAATTAAATCCAAAAGGAATTATTTTGACTGTTAATGAGCGTTCTCAAATTATATACCAGCACAGATTTCTAAACACACTTCCATGAACTCGAGAACTACAAATGCTTCTCTAACTGCTACAAATTTAGGCTGTTAATTTTATAAAGTTTGGAATTCTTATAAAGTTAGGAATTTTTTTTTAACCAGATGATTTATTAAAGCTGAATACTGCAACTCCAATGTTTATAAAGCATAATTTTAAGTACCATTTGACAACTAAAATCATTTTTCCTGTTTATGGGCGTTTTCAAAATATATACTAACACAGATTTCTAAAAATACTTCCAGTAACTAAATAAGTAGTAAGTTGTTTTAAACTAAATTTCTATAAAATAATTTTCTTTTAATTTTTAAAAATTGAGGATAATTCTTACCTGCCTTACTCTTGATATGTTTTCAGTTTCTATTGTGGAAATGGAAAAGAACCGTTAGTGATAAAATGCGCGCCTTATTGCAGGCACCTAAGGTAAATTTGAAACACCTTTTTTAAGAGTTGACAAAACCGATAAGACGTAGGTATGGTAACGTTAAGATTACGCATTCTGCTATCAGGATGAAAGTACAAGCAGAGTTGGAATATTTGCTAAGCAGACGCACCGACAATACCAGAGGATATTATTAATTTTTTATTTTCTTTCTTTTTTTAACTTCTTTGAATTTTAGGTGCAAGGGCGTAGTTGGCTTTGTCACGATTGGTACCGGAAATGAAAACAAAAACCCCTCTTTTAGAACCTCGATAGGGTCCCACCAGAGAGGTTTATTCATCTTTGAATACTTACATTTATATATGAACATATATACATATATAAATATTTACATAATAAATAATATGTATATTTACGTTTGAATATGAATACATTATTTGTATGCTTCAAAACTATTTATTTACACAAGTTAATGACAATAAAATGTTACATTATTTAGTATTATTTAGAAATCGCATATCAAATTCTTTAACTTGATTGTTTCCCGAACAATTCCGATTGAGACTATTTTTATTAAAAGTAAACTAAATTAATTGAAAGGAATGTAAATATTTACAGTTAGCTCTAGAATGGATAGTCGAGATTAAACTGGATACACTGGATAGCATCGAATAAACTGGATACTCTGGATAGCATTGAATAAACTAGATACATTGGAATCAATTAAAAGCTATTTGCTAACCTAAATATTTTAAAATACAGAATTTAGTGAAGTATTTTCCCCAATTAGACTGATTAAAGATGTCAATTGAACAAAATGTCCAAAAATAGAGAGCTTGTAGAGAAATCTGAACCGCTTTTTATGTCTTTGTCAACTTATAAGTAGTTAGAGTTTGGCTGGGATGTTCTACCCTCTCCATCATATTCAACAGATCTCGCGTCCTTAGATTTCCAACTGTTTTAAAGATTGCAAAACTCTTTAATTGAAAGGAAACTTCGATTCATTGTTAGAGATAAAAACTGATGCAGGAAAATTTTTCCCCGAATTACTGGCAAAGGTTATCGTGGAACATAATTTTCAAGTAGCCTAAAAAAAAGTAGAAAGAACTGTGATACGAAATTGCTCTTTAATAAATGTATATCAATGTTTAAATGAGTTATGTTTCAAATCTTCTTTAAAATTAGTTTAAATATTATAGACCACACGGAAAACAAAATTTTTATCACTTTTAGTATTGTATGATGACTCAATAGTTTTATCAATCACTAATAAAATAAATATTTTCTTAAAAATTCAAACAATGTAAGAAATTTATACAAAAACGAAAATAGTGCGTATTGTAGAAACAATTTTATTTTCATCCAGTAGGGTTCAAAATTGACTCAGCAAAGCTCCTACAAGATTATTCACCAAAGAACCAATGTATGGGATATTTAGATTTTGTACCGCTCAGGGGGAAGAGCGCTCGCGTAAAATGAGGTGACACAGGCTCAAATCAATGCATTAGTGGGTAGATAAAAATTCTGCTTTCAGCTCGCACCGACGACAGTGCTGAAATAAAATATGCTTAGAGTTAGATGGATCATCGATCAGACGTCCCTTGCTATCGAACTAACAGTGAGGGAAGTTCGTGGTTTTTGCCTCCCTGTAATTTAAATGCTGGCTTGTTCCATCAAAAATTCATTCACGAAGACTAGTTTTTTTTTCACATCCTAGATCCAGGAGCTCCCTTGTCTTCTGAATCGGGTTCAAAATTACAAGGCTACGGAGATGAACATTGATAGGCGTACTCAAAATTGGATCGAAGTTTCAACGCCAGTTATGAAGTTTAAAAAAAAGAATTACAGTCCTTTTATATCGGACCTAAATTTATTTCCCTTCCAGGGTCCTTATAGACTTGCAATATCGGACAAAGAGTAGGGTGTCACGATTTTTTTTCATATAGGTCCTAGAAAGGCTCACAACCTTGGTTCTATATTGCAAGCCAATAAAAGTCTCAATAGATATCAATACTTAATCGATATCAATATTAAACAAATATAATGATTAGATACTCGATCTGTTCACATTATATTATATCACCGCACCTGAAACTTTAAATGACCTATTCTCCCAAAATTATAAGAAATTTCAGAAATTTTAAAAATGAAATAAGCATTTTTTTATATAAATGAATAAGTATAATAAGTATAATAAATGAATAAGTATTTTTTTTTCTTTTTATAAAGTAGAAACAATAAAATGTTTGTTCCATATGAATGTACCCTCAATTCATCGCAATTATCATTTTAATTTTTTTTCCTCTAGAATGAAATGATACGTTTAATTATGCGGAGATTTTATTCAACTTTCATCCGGAATTAACAGACGATTTTACATTTAAAAAAACTTTTCAATCAAAGAAGCGATAATTTAAAACATACACATTATTTTGTTTTAGATAATTAAATCACTTATAAATCTTCTAAAAATTTGCAACTAATATCTAACGTAAGCTAGCACTGACAGATTTCTTTAAAACCCAGTTTTTTTTTATTTGGAGTAAAGAAAAACTATGACTATTGAAAATGTATTGAAGAGCATACAAAATTTTAATTCTATCATGAAGAATTTAGTAAAATGAAACTAGAACAAAAATTATGATCATTAATTTTTTAATAAATATATTTGTAGTTTAGTTTTCTAACGTCATCTTTAAATAGTATGTTTCATGAGGTAAAAGGAGATAATTTGTAATTTGAGAAGTTTAGAGTGACATTTTGAATAAAATGACAAGTAGTTATTGTAATACACGGAGTAATTTTTCAAATGATTATAGATTTTATTTGGAAGAGACAAATTTTTTTTTTACTAATTCATTAACTTTCCAAAGATTTACTACACTGTTAGAAAATTTTAAGCGATTTGCTAATTTGCTTCAACTTGAATATTGTTTATTCATATTGTCGTGCAAATTTGCTTCAACTTTATTGTTGTTTAATCTTATAATAATGCAATGAAAATTTGCTGCAACTTTGTTGTTTAATCATACCATCATGCAAATTTGCTTCAACTTTAATATTGTTTAATCATATCATCATGCGAATTTGCTTCAGCTTTATTGTTTAATCATATTATCATGCGAATTTGCTTCAACTTTAATATTGTTTAATCATTCCATCATGCAAATTTGCTTCAACTTTAATTTTGTTTAATCATATCATCATGCAAATTTGCACCAACTTTAATATTGTTTGATCATATTATCGTGCAAATTTGTTTCAACTTTATTTTTGTTTAATCATATCATCATGCAAATTTGCTTCAACTTTATTGTTTAATAAAATCATTAATTCATCATGCAAATTTGCATCAATTTTAATATTGTTTAACCATATCAACATGCAAATTAATCCGCGTTGAATATGATTACGTGATCTTGGTTATGAATCAACTAGAATGGAAATATGATTCAGTTTTATACCTTAATAAAAAAATAAAATAATCACATTCGCAAGAGCTGGTTGTAGATAAGAGAAGTCATTCAAATTAGAGCTCCACTATTTCGTGATATAATACAGACTTTATGGTAAAAAATACTGTTAAGTATTGCGCACTGATCGCCTTTCCTTCCTAGAAAAGGTATTTTGGTTTCAAGTCAAAACCTAGAGTAGAACCGCATTACTTCAAAACGGCAGCGAAGTTTTAGATTCAGAAAAACAGCACAGTTTATAAAATAGCAGCGAATTTTCACTATATAATTCAATGTCAAACTGATTTTTCTGAGTAAGTAGTGTAACATCAGTAAATATTTTTTATATGCCTAAAAGGTGACCAATATAATACATAGTTTAATGTATATTAGACTGTATTTTCAATGAAACTAATCGTTTATTAGATTCAATATTGTACCATTTTATACTTTATGATGAACAAGTTCATATAAAGTTTGGTAATCGGGGAAAACAGACGATAGAATTATTGGAAAAGATTCAAATGATAAATTGAAATAGGTGCCATTGTCTGATAACATTCAAAATTCCTTAGTTATGTTATCCTAAAATTAACTAAATAGAAAATGGAACAAGATTAGATCCTTTTTTTTAGTTCATATATTTAAATGAATAACTTTTGACCTTTTACTTAGGCCATTATCATTTGCAAATGTAGCTGATTTACGAAGAAAACATATTTATCCAAAAAAGTAATTAGAAATAAGGGTAGAAAATCTTTTGTAAGCAGCAAAAAAATTTCAGGCAATTTTTTGTGTTTTTATGAATAATAAATGGTTTTCTTTTGCTAATTAAAAAATAAATAATAAAACCTATGCGTTATAACAAGAGACATGATTACATTTTTCCTTTACGTCTCATTTTTAATGCAAAAATGTGAACATAAATATGGAAAAGCAAACAGTATGGAAAAACAAAATTTTATAATTAGTTCATCTTATTCTGAGCAGTCTAATCTAACATCAGGACTAAAAATATAACCAAAATCACCACTACACTGTTAGAAAAATCGGTTTTATGTTGAACCACATGACATCACCTTTACATATTATGTGGGTCGAATTCACTGCAATCATAAATAATGTTTTTAAACGAAATATGTTTCCGTTAAGTTCAAACATAGTGCCGTATAATGAAGTTTCAAAAGTGAGCGAACTAACGACCATATTAAAGGTTGTAGCAACTTTGTTAACTGTTTTATGACTCAACATACTCCATAATTTCTAATAGAGTAATCAAAGTCAAATTACTTACTTCGGATCAATTATTACTGCTGATAACAGAATGTCTCCTGAAATAAAAAATCGATTCTGTCTGGCAAATGAGGCTGTCTTATGGGCTGAGAAGATTTATTAAATTTAGGTTTCTTTCTAGAAAAACAAAGTTCTTAATTTGCAAAAATCTTGTCAGGCCAGTCTTGACATACGCTTCTGAAGCTTGGATCATGACAAAACTGGAGGAAAATTGTGTGGCAATATTTATAAGTGTTAATGAAAACAATAACTGGAGAAGGATATTTAACTTTGCACTGTACAAGATTTATGAACAACCCGATATTATTAAATACGTAAAAATAAATAGAATGAATTAGATGGCCCACGTGATTTGAAT